CATATAAATCGATATGCAATATTGCATTCATATGTATGCAATGAAAACTATATATATAACTATAACTATATACAAACCATAGATCGTAAGTTGTGTAAATAACGTCTAATTTATTATAATAAATTTTATTATAATAAATTTATTATAATAAAAGCAAAAATTAAATCTACATCTGCATTAATTACAAAAGTTTCTCAATAAGATTGTTATATCTTTCCTTTAAACCTAGACTACAAGAATATTTTTATCCTTTTCATTTTAATTGAATCAGAATCGTTCATGACTGTACTGTCCATTAAATTCAATAGTTTACACGCGTTGCATTAATAATTCTAGCCGATAATACTAGTTCTGAATAATATTCTATGTTAATTTCCAGGTAGTTCAATAACTTTTCATTAAACACTTTATTGGATGCAGAAGTTATCTGCAATATATCTTGAAGATCGCTAATAAAATTTATTAGTAGTTTCGAAAACTACACCTTTAATATTTTTTCAGCTACATCTTTAAATTGGCTTAAATTATTATCATATTTCGAGCCTGCTCAAGTACACAGCACTCACAAAGCATTAACAAAGCGTTAAAAAAGCTCATATTCATTCGTTTTTTTAGCGCTTTGCAAGCGCTGCTGTGTTATTTGGGTGATATCCAAACAAGGTGATTATTTACAACTAATGGCGATAATAATAGCGATGATCACATAAAATAGACATTATCAAATGATAAGCGCTAATTGCAGTTAAATACAGGTAGCGTGATAATGACAAAAATAAGTGCAATGCAAACTATTAACCTTAGACTGCTATGATACGTAACTTTAATGTGTAAATAGAGAGATCACTGATATGTATGGACTATGTATGGTCAAGTGGTCCATATAAATATAAAACTCCATAAATATAAATATAAAACTTTTACAAAAAGAGAAGAACGACGAATCATCCGCTATATGTTTAGAAAAAATATGTAAGAAATATTAGAAGAAACTGTGATTGCTGAGATGACATATAGAAAATAGTAAAATATATAATTGTATGAAAAATTTTTATTAAATAACATATCCATTTCATTCTAAAATTGAATTTAATAATGCATTTCTTCTTTCTTTTTTTAATTAATTAATAGCATCTCCTCAGAATTAAAATTGGAACAAAATTTATGAGAAAAAAGCTATTAAGAAAATTTAAAAAAAACATAAAAATTTAATCTTTATGTAAAATTTGATTATGTTCCAAAATATTTAAACATAAAACTTTAAAAATTTCGTATATAATATACTTCAACGATAGTTTTAATATTTCTAATATTTATTTAGTTTGCTCAAAAATGAGGCAAGAAGTATGCATTTTAAAAAACATATAAAGTTCTTGAATTTTCTGCAATTAAACATTTTTTGTCGTCACACAAAAAAGTGTGCATTTAAGATAAAAATTGTTTATCATGCATAACCCATACATATAATTTTCTAGTAATTTAGCTATCGAGTATTTTATACATATTTAGAATTATTCTGCTTATGTAAGATAATGATATACTTAATATGACATAGTATTGAACAAAATTTTCTATAAGAAATAAAAAATAATAAATAAAATAAATTATTTAATATATTCGAATTAGGCGAATGATGAATAATTTATGCGTTATGTGTTATTTTTATTCAAAAATATGATGAAAAAATAATCAATCGAGAGAAAATTGGAAAACACGTTCGATCGAGATTATAATCGAGATTATAATCGATTATAGTTACTTTCATTTAAACTAATCTATACAACGTTGCATCAATAATTCTGGATAATATTAGCAATATTCTGTGCTAATTTCCGAGCAGTTCAATGTCTTTCCATTAAATACCTTATCGAAGCTCAGATTTTAGCTCAGAGTTACCTACAATGTATTCAGATAATGCTGTAAAATTTATTAGTGGTTTTGTATTGGAAGCTATTCTCTCGGTATTATTTGTCTTTATCTTTAAATTGCTTAAATTATTACTATGTTTTGAACCTAACATTCAGGCAAAGGTGATTTACAATTGCAGATGGTAATAATAGCAATGGCATCGAAAACAATCGCCTCTAAAACATTAAGTTAGCTGTTAAATAATAATATTACAGGTAATTAACCGCAATGATAACAAAAATAGATGCAACGCAACATGTATAAGAAATTAAATAGAAATTTCTAAAAATAAATAAAGTTGATTAAAAAACTAAAAGAAATTATTAAAATTTAATATTTTACTTTATATAAAATTTGATTATGTGAGAATATATTTTAATATCAAACTTTTAAGAAAAGAACACTTCATAAAATGTTTCAATGAGAAATAATGGTAATATTTATTTTAGTACTTGCTTAATAAAATATATACTTTTAAAACAATATATACTGTAAATCGAAGCTTGTTGACAGTTTTCACAATTTCGGATTTAAACTTAAAAATATTGTAAAACTTTAAAGTATTGTAACTATTATGTTTAAAATGTAATATGATAAAAAAAATCTTTCTCTATATTTTCATACTAGGAACGGTTCTAACTATATTGTATAGTTTTTTGCAGTAAATAAAATACTAACAAGCTCAGTGATAGTTAACTTGCCCTGATGTAAATTGACATCACGACATAAGTGCCTATATAAGTTGCCTACAATAAATTCTATATTAAATTAATGAAAATGTAATAGACATAAAAAACAGACTGCATACATGTATTTTTAATAAAGATTATATCTTTTGAAGTTTTGTAATGATATTTTGTAATGATCAAATAGTCAAGATCAAAAAATATTATTACAAAAAGAAAATTTAAATTATTTTAGTTGTAGCTTACTTTAATATAAAAATATTAAATGTAAAGCGTTTCGTCCAATTAAATTGTAACTTAATGTTCACATGCGTGGCGTGTGACACAATAATAAGTCAAACTTTTCTTAAATTGTTCTTAAAACGAACCAATGTACCCCAACATACGTAAAATTTCATTTTACTAACAGGGGATAGGAAATAATAAATAACGCGCCGTTTATCGTTACTTGTTATTAATTATTTGTTAATAATGTTAATAATGATTTGGTAATGCCATGCAATTTTTTTATGATGGTAATGATATTTTTAATTAAAGGTTTTTAATTAAGATTAGAGAAAAATCATTTTTGAAAAGTAACTTGTCCATTATGCGTAGCTATTGAATAAAAGTAATTCATTACTTATAAGGAGTTAAAGTAACGAGTCAATGCGTTACAAATAATGAGTTATTTTTTTCAATAAGTGACGCTGTAAATAATGTTAACAAGTTGCATTTCAAAATGATTTTCTCAATCTTAGTTAGTTATCGTAAACGTTACAATAAATTGCAACATTCATTACTAATCATTATAGACAGTAACGGCAAAAGAAACAGTTTCATTCATGAATAACAAATTACTCAAAATAATATATCGTACAATAACGTGCTATATTATAATCATTCTTTTAACTAAAGTATTATAACTTTTCTTTTGATTAACAATACAACACCCATATTAAATTTTCTCAAACTGAACGATATTAATACGAAATTATATACGCTTAAAAATCTACTTATTTTCACTTGAATCAAGTATTTCTTTTTTCTTATAATAACTTGTTTGATTTAAATGAAACTTAAGAAAAAGTACTTATATTATAAAGAAAAATGTTTTATAATTTTTCTATTGTTTCTCTCTTTATAAATACATAAACGGAACGCAATGCCTCTTGTGCCAATAAGCTTCCTCTATTTCTTAAATTTTTTTGAACAGATTATTTTTCACAAATAAAAGAGAAATAAAAATTATTTATTCATATGATAACTCGTATATATAATTCTTTAGTAATTTAGATTTTGAAAATTTTGTATATAGTCTATATTATATTCACACACACACATACACAACATAATATAATTAATACG